TACTTTCTGAACAAAAAAATAGAGGGGCACAAATAGTACAATTGCACAATCTATACCAGAAACGCCTAGGCATTCCCGAGAGTCAGGAATCTGCCCCACACCTGCTTAGCAGCGCGAGCATCCCCATGCTTAGCAGTCACAACAGGCATCAGCAGCTTCACAAGCCTAACAGCCTCCTTAGCCGCTGACTCACCCTCCCCATACCTCTCCTCTAACCCCTCCACACTAGCTTTCAACCCTGCAACTTTCCTTGCTAGCCTTTCCCTCTCCGCCATCGCACCTTGCAGCCCTTGCCTTCTTTCCAAAACCAGCGCCTCAGCTAGTTGCACCTTCTGGCTCATTGCTCCTACCCAGGGCTGACTATTCAAAAAAATCCAGTCTGATGTTCTGGGGGCTCTGAAAATTTTTAGTCTGAGGCATATTTCCCAGAGGATGGCCACTCTGATTTTTCAGGTTCCGCAAAAACACAAGTCTGAAGTACTCAGAACACACTACAACCACTGCAGTACAGTACTGCCACAAATGTAGCACGTGGGGCGCAACGCTAACCAGTTTCCCTCGCTGACACCGCGTAGCTGCAGTGATGGTCCCGCGTGAGTGGAAGAGTGAGCCAAGTTGGCAGATTTCTAAGGGAAAAGGGTGGCAAAAGTTGCCAAGGACAGATTCTGCGCGTGACAGCGCCATGAAGTGTGTTCGTACACTGGCAACATATGACGTAGCGGAATGTACGTAGAAATCACAGATCCGCATTTCAGGATCCGTACTCCCTGTAGTATGAAGACCCATTATCGGCTAAGTCAGTACTCTGAAAATCTCAGGATCCAAAACCAAGTAAGTCTGAGGCACTCATGTTTGAAAATCTTACAAGTCTGAAAAATCAGGATCCGTAGGAAAATACCCTGAGATTTCAGACAATCAGACTATTTTAGTCTGATAAAGTCAGCCCTGCTCCTGCCACTCTCTCCGCCTGAGCCTTCACCAGTTCTGCCTCCTCTCGCTGCAGCCTTGCTCCCAAGGTCCGTGTTCCTGCCGAACCGACAACCATGGCTCGGCGCAGGTCTTCATCTGCTTCGCGAAGAATCTTCGCCTGTTCCTCGGCCATTTCCCGTGCGCCCGCCAGCTCAGCATTCGCCTGCTCCACGTCTTTCTTGCCTTCCTTCGCTTGAACAGCCGCAAACTCTGCATCACCTTCCGCGTAATCCAGCTCTTCACGCATCCTTCTCAGATTCTTTATGTCCTCTGATGCCCGACCCTCATATATGGAGGATTTCCAAGCCTGGAATTCGGCTCGGAGGCTGTCCATCAATTCTCGAACAACCGCCTCTTCTGCGTCGGCTGCAGCAATTTCCTCCACAGCTTCGTTCGACTTGCGCAGCTTTTCCTGCGACTTCTTATCTTCAGGATTTTGTTCAGCATCCGTCCCTTCACCATGGGCCGGCGCTTCTATTTCCACGAGATAAGCGTCGTCTTTGTCGCTCCAGGGTCGTCGCAGCGTCCGATTCCCCGACAGAGAGAATGAAGGTCCATTAAAAGAAGGAGATGAAGTATGATGCTGATTCTTTGCATCGTCTGCGACTGAACTCAATGAGACTGGCGCCGATGCCGCGCCATGGGTTTCATTTCGGCGCGTTGAGGACGGTGTTTGGACGATTCCGAGTATGGCGCGCTCCGCTTCAGGAAAGGATTTCATCGCGCGTTTGAACACAGCAAGATAACCTCGCAGCGTCGCATTGGTGGTCTTCTCCGCTTCAGTCGCCTGCGGAAGCCGCTGCTGCCAGGCTTTAACTATCTCGTCTCGACACGTCACTGCGATGCTGTGCGACGCCACCTTGTCGCGCAGTCGCAGAACCTTCCGTGCGAGCTTCGCGAACAGTCGCTGGGCGACGAGTTTCGCCTCGCCCGCTGTTACCAGCGACAGCCGGACGTCCTCCGAGTCGCGCTCGTACATCCGCTGAGCGGTTTTGTCGATTATCGCGGAAAGCTCGTCGATGACTTTCCGCTGCTGCTCGAGTCGCGCTGACGTCAGCTTGAGCTTCTCCCGCGCGCGCAGCGCCTCCTGGATCTTCCTGTTGGCGTCGGTGATGCTGTCGTTGAGCGACCGGAATTCGCGGAGAAGCACGAGCGCGTGTCGCCTCGCTTCCACGGCCCGCGCTTTCCGCGCGACCAGCTCTGACAGGAGAACGGCCTGTTCTGTCGTAGCCGCATCGCCGGAATCAAGTAATCCCGGATTATCTAATGTAGTGGTTGGGATTTTGTTAGATGCTCCGTTTGTGGTTGATACCATCATGTTGTCATGTGGTCGAGAGGACGCAGGTACGAAGCAGCACGCAGCGGTGAGGGTGAGTAGTAGTAAGACCGCAAGTGGATGTCTGTTGCCGCCGCGAGTAGGTTGGTGTCGGTGCGAGGCGTCCATCGTTCCGAGAAGTAATGATATTCGCAAGGAGTACATCGTATGTGTCAGCATAGATGATAGTAATAATATCAGTAGCACACGAGCTCGAAAGAGTTGCTTCCGAAGTAGAACAACAGCTGGTGTTAGCTTGGTTGTGTTAGCCTTAGTACGAGTCGGGAAGTGCGACGCGGAGCGACGGAGTATGTCATTGGAGCTCTGAATTCTGATTGGCTTTTTAGACCGAGAAAGCAATGCTTTCCAGGAGGAGAAAGGAATGCAGTGCACGAAGTACCTTTTTGGCTTCAAGTTCCCTTCCGCAACTGACGTCGCCACTCTCCAGAAGGGTGGTACTGTTCTTTACCCAACAGAACGACTGGGCGGTTGGAGTGACACCCAGACCCAGTGACCCACCGACGCGTTCCGGTCCCCACAAAGGTGTCGGTGGGAAGGTTGCACTTGGAAGAGGTCACGCAGTGTACAGAAAAGGGATTGGAGGCGGGGCGAGCCACATGGAAGTGTTGGAAGAAGGTGGGTGGAGTGTGGGAACCCTATGGGTGGAAGCAGAAGGTCACGGCGACAGTAGAAACGACATGTTCCATGTTCGGGCTGAAAAGGCCCGCGACGATTTGGCATTTTTTGGGGAAGTTAATCTTCACGTCCTGAGATATCTTCGGAGTATGGGAAACCTCAGGGTGCAAGCTGTAGGATTTATCGGCTGGCGAAACGACTAGCCCCACGTTCCGGTGCAATGTTGGAGAGGTTTCACCTTGGAGGAAAAGCATGCCCTTGTGTCTTAGACTGACTGAGGAGTTCCTTGGCTTTTCGAGGGTAGGGCTTTTAGGGAATAACTGTCCCAAGGTCATTGCCACCTGTCATTGAGGTGGTGAACTGGAAGTTCTCAACTGGAAACTGGTGCTCAAACCATCACCCTCCATCGTGTCAGAGTCAGGTCCGAGCTGTCGAGGTCCACTTCGGATCTTCCGAGATCCAGTTTGGGTTACCGTCACCTCTTTCCCTGAGACTCCACTTAGGGAGCACCCAACTTCGTTTCAACCGAGCCTCAACTGAGGTCTGACACGAGCATCGAATGTGATTGGGGTTTTGGATCTCATAAGGCTTCCTCAGGGAGGATGATATACCTTATAATTTACATGTATTTGGACAAATATGTTTTGGTAAAAAAATTGTGTGTAAAAGTTGGAAGCCTTGGCACTAATACATGGGAAAAACGCCACCACGATTGACAAACTTGGTGCTTTCGGTTCGGCGCTCGTCACTGTTAGAGCAGCACGAGAACTCGAAGCTGGTTGTCAGGTGTACGTAGAGTAATAATTCGTTGATATCTGAATATTTCACCAGTTACGAACACCTTTATTTTGAAGTGGATGGGGACGAATTTGTGAGCTGGTATAATCCCATCCAGACTATTTAAGTGACTTTGTTGACGAATTTGTTGATAATTTTCAGTCTTGTGTTCTTATCCTGGTGTACTCGATTGTACACCTAGTCCGCGGTATTTTAACCGCCGCTATCTTAACCACGCGAGGGTACTTCTCCTTTATCAAACTTATTTAGTCGGGTTGTTTCAAACTTTACGAGGGTAGAATCTAGCATTCCCTTCGCGAGATGACGGCAGAAAAAACTCAGTGAATGTCGAGTGTGACAAATGTCAGTCCGTCTATCTTGGAGCACTAAGTGTGAGTTCCTTAGATGGAAGTGCTTTCGGCTGCAGAATCGTAGCCTCGATGACTCTGGATGCTAACATCATTACCCAGAAACGAACAAAGGGGGTTTGAAAGAACAAAGTTCACCTGGTTAAAATACCGCGGACTAGGTGTATTTCGCCATCCACGGCCGGCTTTCCCTGCTGCGCCACCTGCGCCTAACAAAAGAACAAGAAAGTGTTTGACCAGGTTGATTGCGCATGTGGTGGTGCCAGGCACAGGCGTTGGGTTGGGTGGGATGGGATAAGAGGCATGCCGACACGAGCTTTCACCTGAATTTCTTCACTTTAGACGGTGATTGGCTTCCGTGCTGTGCGGCGGCCAATCGTGTCCAGCAACAGAGTGGTCTACACATGTCAAAAGCCATGATCGCGTTTCCCCGCCAGATACCCCGCCAGATGCGTCGTCCCGAAACAACCCGTATCGGATCCTCTCAGGGTGTAGTCGAATCAGAGTCCAGGCAAGGAATAAGTTTCGTGCATTGTTCTGTACCGTTCATATAATATACCACACCGTTCTGGAAGATCTCATCAGGCAACGATACGTGAGTGTCATCTGTCCCCTGTATTGCATTGGCATGAAAACCACACTCTGCTTCCAGCAATCACAACTCAAATTCTTCATTCTGTGTTTCGTCAACGAACGCACCATTCACCTTTCTCTACTAGACTTGCGTACAATGGGGCTCCAGCGCTCCCTCGCCTTGGCGCTCCTTCTCTTTGCCGTCGCTCCACACTCCGGTGAGTGCCATTGTCATTTCCTCGCTACAATCTACCTACGGCCAAATCGCAATTGAGAAATTTCACAAATCATCATCAGCAAAAATCGCACCTGCTTGCTTGCAATCCCTTTCTTCCATCGGTTTCATTTTGACTCTCCCCCGCATGAATGTCTCTGATCAATTTCCATCCCTTTCCGAGTTCCGCCGCGCAGAGGCCGGGAGGGACATCGTCGTCTACAAGGGCAAGGATTCGCAGCAAGGTGGTCCCATAGATGCGGGAGGCCCAGGCGGAATCGGCGAGACCGGCGGGAAGGACGGGAAAAAAGGACCTCCTGACGCGGGCCCGTGCCCGCTGCCCAAGCCCGACGACGCTCAGGCGCTCGGGAATCTGACCGGTGAGACTCCCGCGAACTCTCTGTCCCGCGAACCTTTTGGCAGCTGTCACCCTGTGATGGAAAATCGGCGCGTGATAATGTACGATGCACCTGATGCAACCCCGGCGCGTGATAATGTACGATGCACCTCATTTTTTAGGCGCCTCGGAATTAAACGTGACTTTTCAAATTACCATATGACTCTCACCCGACCCTATCCTTCCTCTCCGCCTCTCACTCTGCGCCCAATTCCCTCCTTTCCCGCCCTTCTCGTCGCGCAGCAATTCTTGCCGCGCGGCTGAACGGGTCCGAAATTCTTTATTCGTCGGGCGACGTCAACGGCACCGGTCGAATCTGCCTCGCCGTTTTCCAGTAAGCCGCTTATTTCGAGTAAGGGACCGTGCTTGAGCGTACCTTGGAGCCGAATCGCTTGATTGTGGGCATGTATCCGTTTTCTCACCCGTCGTTGCAAGGTAGGATTAGCAATAAACGTTGCATATAGAAATTTGGCCTTTTCTTTTTCTCCCGTGCTTTCCTCCCCGCAAACCGTGACGGAAAACGTCAGGCTGGACGGCGACTACAACGTCTTCTACAGTGTCGTCGTTTCCAGCTCCGACGCCCGCGAGCCGTTCGCCGCTTCGATCTATCAAGGCGCGCCGGGAGAGGAGGGAACCCTCGTCGCCCGTTTCATCGAGGGAGGAAACAGCGCCACGTGGGCGAATCTTACTCGTCCGCCGCCTCCCCCGCCCAAGGGCAAAAAGAACAAGGGCACACCTCCCGCATCGCCCCTTCCGAAGTACACTTATGCCACAAACGGGACGTGGCTTAACGCAAGTACACTGACTGCGTACGACGGGAAGACAATAAAGGAGCTGGTGGATGCGATTATAGCGAAGCCCGATGGGTACTACGCGAAATTCTCGACGCCTTCGTATGAGTCGGGTGCGGCGAGGGGGCAGTTTAACTCGGACCCGCTTCCGCCGCCGCCTATGGAGGACGGAAAGAATGGAGGGCAGCAAGGCGGCCCGATAGTCGCTGGCGGCCCAGGCGGAGTGGGCGAGACCGGCGGGAAGGACGGGAATAAGGGACCCGGAGTGGGCGAGACCGGCGGGAAGGACGGGAAAAAGGGACCGGGAGTGGGCGAGACCGGCGGGAAGGACGGGAAGAAGGGACCCCCTGATGCGGGCCCGTGCCCGTTGCCTAAGCCCGACGACGCTCAGGCGCTCGGGAATCTGACCGGTGAGTCTCTCGCGAGTCATGAGACGACTTTTTGGGCGGCTTGAAACTCGGAATTCTCACCGGTGAGTCTCCCGCATTAACTCGCTGACGCTTATCATTTTCCTCCCCCCCTGTTCCTCCGCCAATGTCCCTCCACCCGCGTTCCTCCCCATGGTATCTCCTCGCCTTGCCATCTTCTCACCCCTTTTCTCTCCTTTCCCCGCCCTTCTCTCCTTTCCCCGCCCTTCTCTCCGCGCAGCGATTCTCGCCGCGCGGCTGAACGGGTCCGAAATTCTTTATTCGTCGGGCGACGTCAACGGCACTGGTCGAGTTTGCCTCGCCGTCTTCCAGTAAGCCGCTCATTTCGAGTTAAAGGACCGTGCTTGAGTGGAATTGGGATTTGAATCGATTGATTCCGGGATATTATCCGTTTTCTCACCCGTGCAAGGAAGGAATAGCAAAAAAAGTCTGCACCTAGCAAGAACCTTTGCACCTAACCCTTTCTTTTTTCCCGTGCTTTCCTCCCCGCAAACCGTGACGGAAAACGTCAGGCTGGACAGCGACTACAACGTCTTCTACAGTGTCATCGTTTCCTCCTCCGACGCCCGCGAGCCGTTCGCCGCTTCGATCTATCAAGGCGCGGCGGGAGAGGAGGGAATCTCCGTCGCCCGTTTCATCGAGGGAGGAAACAGCGCCACGTGGACGAATCTTACTCGTCCGCCGCCTCCCCTGCACAAGGGCAAGAAGAATAAGGGCACACCGCCCGCCCTGCCTCCTCCGAAGTACATTTATGCCACAAACGGGACGTGGCTTAAAGCGAGTACACTGACTGCATATGACGGGCAGACAATAAAGGAGCTGGTGGATGCGATTATAGCGAAGCCCGATGGGTACTACGCGAAATTCTCGACGCCTTCTTATGAGTCGGGTGCGGCGAGGGGCCAGTTTCAGTCGGAGCCGCTTCCGCTTCCGCCGCCGCCGAAGGAGGACGGAAAGAACGGAGGGAAGAATGGCGGGGGCAGAAATGGAGGCGATAAGGGGGGGGCGGCCGGCACTCTTGTCGGTAAGAAGTGCTTCCCGTTCCTAGCCTTCTCCGCCTCTCGCCCCCCCACCCGTTGTTAATGCTCACGGAATAACCACGCACCATGCCCCCTCCCTTCTTTCCGTAACTTTTCGAGATTCTTCCCCTTTTCCCTTTTCAGGCATTCGTCCCTTTTTTCAAGCATTCTCTCACGTTAATTTACTTCCTCTCTGCGATTTCGTGCAGGGGTGGTGGGAGCATATCTTAACGGCTCAAATGCTGACCTCACTGCTGACGTCAACGCCACAGGCCTCATTTCCCTCGCCGTCTTCCTGTAAGCCTCTTTTTCATTCCCTTCCTTCATTCCCTTCCTTCATTCCCTGCCTTCATTCCTTCCTCCACTCCCTTTCCCCCAACCTTCATGCCGCTTCATTCACTCCCTTCCCCTAAATCTTCCTTCCCCTTTATTCCCTTCCCTCCCCCCAATCTTCGTTCAACTCACTTCTCCTCTCAGTTCTCCTCTCACTCCCTCAACCTCCCCTTCTCGCACCTTCTGTTTTTCGTTCCTTCAGATTGCCTCTTGTCCCCTCCTTACCCACCTGCCCCATGGCCAATCACCCACCCCTCACTGCCCCTCCTTGCCACTGCTTGCCCCTCCTTGCCACCCTCTCCCCATAGGAACACCACAACGAACGACTACGACATTCGTTACAGCGTCGCCATGAGTCTAACCAACCCCCGTTTTCTGCCAATATTTCACGCGCCCTTGCCCCTCTCTGCCCCCCCCCTGCCCCTCCTTGCCACCCCTCCTTCCCCCCTCTTAGGAACGCCACAACTAACGACTACGACATTCGTTACAGCGTCGCGGTCTCTCTAACCGACTCTGGCGAGCCCTTTGGTGTCGTCATCAAGAGCAGCGAGGGCAGGGTACTCACCGTGGCCACCGGCAGCGCCACGTGGGCCAATCGCACGCTCTCAAACTCTGAGCGCGCAAAGCTGGGCAAAAAGCTGACTCCCAAGGGCAAGAAGGGCAAGCAGCCGCCTCCCCCACCTCCCCCTTCTCTTGGGTATAACTACGAAACCACCGGTACTTGGCTAAGCGCCAGTACTTTGACGGCGGATAACGGGCAGACGTATAAGGAGCTGGTAGATGCCATGCTGGCTGCTCCCGCCTCTTACTCTGCTCTCGTTTACACCAGGACGTTCGAGAACGGTGCCGAGAGTGGATCTTTCGCCAATACTACCTTGGTAGTAGGGAAAGGGGCCAAGAAAAATGGCAAGTCCTCAAAATTGGGCGTCAAATTGAGATTCAATGAAACGTGAGGAAAAACGATCAATGAGACACGTGGCAGAAGGAAAGGGTCCAAGACGGATGCGAGCCAATACGGTACTAGGTATCATGGATTTTGCAAGGGTGGGTCTGCCAAGCCATTGTGATAGGGTATGAGTGGAATGTTAGGGTGTTTTTTATATAACATTTAGTTTGTACTTTGTCAATAAAGGATATCCTTGAGAATTTGTACAAGGGCAAAGATCAAAGCCAGATCTGAAGGGCAAGCGCAATATACATCCAAAGCCCAAGGCTGATGCATCAAGCCAAAACTCAAGGCCATGCTTAAAGCCGGCGGCCCAAATTGTTCATGCTTTTAGAAGTTGACCAGAGGGAGTTTTTCTGGTGTGGGCTTTGGCGAGAGTTTCCGATTTCGTCTAGGTTCGTTTTTTTCGCGAGACCCAGCCAACCCTCGGTTTTCCCCCTGGTGAGTGAATCTGTCTTCGAAAGTCCCAAATTGCAAGTGCGTGACTTTCAAAAGCTTGGACACTCAACTTCGTCAAGTTTTAAAAACTTGACCCTCGCGGCCCGCAATTTGGGACGCGGGATTTAAGGCCAAGGCCAAGGCCAAGGGCAGAATTATAGACCAAAGCCGAAGGCCAAACCCAGGGAGTAAGCCCAGATACAAGCCCATGGCCAAAGCCAAAGGCCAAAGCCCAACGGCAAAGCCCAAGGCCAAGCTCAAGCAAAACCCAAGGCCAAGTCTAAGTTCAAGCCCAAGGCCTAAGCCAAGTTCCAATGTCAGAGAACCAAGGGGCAGGCAAAGAGTAAAGCCTAATGCAAAGCCAAAATACAATCCCCAAGGATACTTCGAAGCTCAGATATAATGTGAAAGGCCAGCCAGTCACATCTTTGCAAGCATAAATGATGTAATGAAACAGGTTATATTTCCTGGCATCTATGTTCGTAATGGAACAGAGTATACACCGCATCCAAGTTCTGGCATCCCTCCGTCCTTCCGCCGAGTCCTGACCTGTGCGAGCTTCACCTCCTGCGCCACCTGCGCTGACGACAACAAGAAGGGAGGGATGTCCATCTGGCGCGTGCGCAGAGCACAAGGGACAAGTCAGGACATGAGCCATCGTGGCATGTGATTGGTTTCCGTGCTAAGAGGCGATACGGAACATCTGCACCGTATCCAAATTTCGCATCACAGTAGCTATGCCTGCTGCTGCGCCACCTGCGCTGAGGACAACAAGGCCAATCAAGAGTCTCCGATTGGCGCGTGTGCAGAGCACACGGCACGACTTGAGTTGAGCAAACGTGGCAGGAGTTTGCATTCCGTGCTATGCGGCGATTCATCCGTATATGCAATGACGGGCAGATTAGCACGTGGCTGCCCGACTAGTTCTTTCGTTTTTTGGGGGTGTGTTTTTCCTGAGATCCCCAGGGTTTTGTTACTTTCTGCACCCACTTTTTCGAGAGGGAATTTGTCAAGTCACGATATTTTACCAAGGGTATCGCTACGAGAGGCCTCACTCCAGGGTCGTCCCCTCGCCTGGCAACTGTTCCATACCCCCTCAACACAGGCCGGGTTACTTCCCCACCAGGTGCCCCGCCAAATGCGTTCATCTGAATCCCATGCCAACAGCGCAATCTCCAGGTTTACCGCAGCGCGCAAATTCTGGGAGATTGATTTGAATGCGAGTAAATCAACCAGAAGGAAACGTTCTGCAGCGTGGTTCAACATAACGGTACCGTACTGAACGGCTTCGTAGCCTCCTCACTTGCTCAAATGTGTCCACCTTGGACCCACAGCACAGGCTTTGTCGCCTCGCCAAGCATAAATGCCTTCACATAAGGCTATTCGAGCAAAGCTGTCTCAAGAATCCAACCAGGGCTTGTAAATGTATAACGTCTCGTCAACCAGCCATAAAAACGTCATTTTATCGAATTGCCAGCTGAAAAAATCAGTCCCGCGATGGAGCCCCAACGTCACCTCGGCTTATTAATTCTTCTCTTAGCCGTCACCGCATGCTTTGGTGAGACATACGAGTTATCCTGCAGCACTCCATTTTTCTTCACCTCAACCGCATGTCGTATGGTTCCATCTTGAACTTTCTTGCATTTGCTGCGCAGCAACCACGATGGCGGCTCGTCTCGTGAAGGACGCAACGGGTGGGACTGACGTGGGCGTGAAACCCTCGCAGCAGCCTCGCCGTAGCCTCGCCTCAGCCTCGCTGCTCCCCGTGTCGTGCTTAGTGCCCAGGGGAGCAGACGCTGACGCTCTCGGACTCGGAGAACTGATAGGTGAGATGCTCTCGCGAACCTAGTAACATGTAGAGGCTGTCGCGAATCTTTTCTTCGAGTGGGATTTCGGCGAATCTGGCATGTGAACCTGCTAGAGCGGCATGCTCTCGGGAAATTGAGATTTTGACTCTCACGAATCTTACAGACCCTCAGGGTCGCACAGCCGCTGAAAGGCTTCGAGAGTTTCGCGACTACGGTTGAACCATGCCTGTCGATCCTACCAAAATGGAGATGAATGATACTGAAAATGTACAGTGGCTACTGAATGGACTCCGCAGAAGAGGCGATTGCACAACATGATCTTGCTTTTCTTCGCTCTCCTTCCCTCATCTCTCTTCTCCTGTCCTCTCCCCTACGTCGTTCCGCTGCTTCTCTCCCCTTATATCCGCGCAGCCGTTTTTGGCGCCAAGATGAACGGATACGAAGTGGTTGGGTCGAAAGGTGACGTCAACGCCATCCCCGGCCGATTCGGATTCTGCCTTGGCATCTACAAGTGAGCGGCCGCGGCCCATCAGCCACTTTGACCCCACTTGCTTGCAAATTGTTTCCCGAAAAAGAGGAAACCCCTAGCAACGAACCCTGCTTTAGTACAATTTACCTGCTCGACTGCTGCACACAGTTCCTCTTTCTCTAATATTGCTAACTCCATCATTCCCCTCTTTGTCTGCTCGCCTGTGCGAACCGTGACTGGATCCGTCAGGGTGGTCGAGGGGACTTCATTCGCGAAAGAATTTCTCAACTACAACATCTTTTACAATCTCTCCGCGTCCACCTCCAAGCCGGGCGCGCCGACCTCCGCCTTCATCGGACAAGGCTCAGCGGGGCAGGCGGGAACCACCAATTTCGAGATTGCCGGGGCCAGTGCCACGTGGAAGAACGTCACTAGCCCCCCGCGGACAGGCGTCCCTCAGGCATACACCTACAGCACTGAGGGGAAGTTGCTTGGCACGAATAAGATGCCAGCGTTGAACAAGCTCGATGTTACGCAACTAATTCTTTCAATGATTCAGAAAACAGACGATTACTATGCGGGATTTTCAACGGCGGCGTTCCAGACGGGAGCAGCGAGGGGACAATTTAAGATGATGGTGCTCAACCCGACGCCGGACGGGACGGACGGCACGGGCGGGACGGACGGAAATCCCAAACCGGCGGTCCCGGCGGTCGAGTGCGACTTACCCAAGTCGGCTGCGGCCCTCGGGGATTTGATCGGTAAGAGCCCTCGTGTCCTGGCGAATGCCACTCAAAGATTTGATCGCCAAATTATGCCGATTGCCCATCACTCTGAGTGTCTTGGATTATCTGTGTATGCTCTGTCAGTGGCCTCCTTTTCTTCCATCCTCTCCACGGTTCAATTACACCTCGCCGTTCCTTCACTCTCCTTCCGTCCTTTTCACTCTCCTCTCCTCTCATCTCCTCTCTCCTCCGCGTCGCTCCGCCGCTCCTCTCCCCTTGTGGCGCGCAGGGATTATCGGCGCGCAGTTTAACGGATCACAAACGGTTGGGTCGAAGGGCGACGCGAGGGCCAGCGGCCAAATCTGCCTGGCCGTCTACGAGTAAGCTGGCTCACGCTACTACCATGCTTCCACATCCCTAAGCGTTATTCAACAGCCATGCTTCCATATTCCTCAGCTATGCTTTCTACGTTTCCATCATGATAGTATTTCTCTGAGCACGATTACTCAGCAATGCTCTCATATCCCTCTGAAACATGCTCGCCCGACCATTCCTTTCCTCTTCCGCTCGCTTTGTGCGAACCCTGACTGACTGAATCCGTCAGGTCAGACGGCGATTACAACATCTTCTACTCTTCTTTCGTCAAGACCTTGAAACTGGGTGCGCCGACCTCCGTCTTTTTCGCGTCAGGCTTGGCGGGAAAGGCGGGAACCAAGGCCCTCGAGATTGTCGGGGTCAATGCCACGTGGAAGAACACCAGTGTTTCACCGCCTGCACCTGCAAACAAACCAGTGCCATCTCTCTACACCTACACCATCCAAGGGACGTGGCGTAAATCGAGTAACCGGAGCGCGTTAATCAACGGGCAGACGGCTGCGAGCGTGATTGATGCGATTATGTCGGCTCCAAACAGTTCATACTACGCGGGATATGAGACGGCGACTTACTCGAAGGGCGCAGCGAGGGGTCAGATTATTGTTGTGGATGTAGGAAGCACTACGGTGTTACCCGCTAGTCCGCCGCCCCCCGTGCCGTGCGTATTTCCCGAGGGGAAAGAGGTTGTGGCACTTGGAAATCTAACTGGTGAGTGGCTTTCGCGAATCCAACAGTAACGTGTAGAGGCTTTCGCGAATTTCGCGAACGTGTGGGATTTTGGCAAATCCGGCAGGTATGGCTCTTATGAATTCGAGAAACCCTCTCATTTCACCTTGCCTCTCATTTTCCCCACTCTTTACCTCCTTCGCTCTCCTAACTCTCTCCCTCTCCCCCGCGTCGTCTCCGCTCCTTTTCTCCCTTTCTCTCTGCGCAGTGCTTCTTGACACGTGGCTGACCGGACCCGAAGTGGTTGGATCGACCTGCGACGCCCAGGCAGCCGGCCAAATCTGCATGGCCCTCTACAGGTGAGCCGCTGCGACAGATTTTTCGAGACGTCCAGTCTCAAACATTAACGTCCAGTCGTCTTCCAGTCACCTCTGCCTGGGTCGCTACAGGTGAGCCAGTATCCCTGCTCAATACTGTTTCGGGGCTCCCTGTTCTAGTACTCCCTGCTTGTTTCGGGGCTTGCGCAGCACATTTCTCCGTAAACCCTACACGACGCTCCCCGTGCCATGGTGGCGTGATCTCATCTCGTCATTCCTCTCTCTTCTTCTGCGCGACGTCTGTGCAAACCCTGACTGACCCCTGAATGGCCCCTGACTGAACCCTGACTGAACCCTGACTGAATCCGTCAGGCTGGGTGACGACTACAACCTCTTCTACAATCTCACCTCCTTCACTGCCAAACCGGGCGCGCCGACGTCAGCCGTGATCGCGCGCAACTCGGCGGGAAAGGCGGGAGCCACCGTCCTCGAGCTTGCCGGGGCCAACGTCACGTGGCAGAACGTCACTCGTCCGCCGCCAAGGAGGCCAAAAGTCGCTCCCACATACACCTATAACTTAAAGGGGACTTGGCTTAAAGCGAATACGCTGAACGCGACGAACGGGAAGACTGTGTCGAACCTGATTGTCATGATGACGCTGGCAGTGGATACTTATTACGGGCAATTCGCGACGCCGGATTTCGCGGCGGGAGCAGTGAGGGGGCAGCTTACCGAACTGACGAGCCAACCGACGCCGGCGGGTCAGAGCGAAACGGACGGGAAATCCAGACCGTTCCGCATCGCGTGCACCTTACCCAAGCCCGCAGAGGCTGCTGCACTCGGAAATCTGATAGGTGAGAGCACTCGGATTAACTCTCGCGTTCCTGACAAAGCCCAATCGCCAATCGCATTTAGCATTGCGGACCGAGCCTTGGAGATAGTTATTGTCAGCGTATGCTTTCCCAGGCCCCCTACTTCTCCCCTCTCTACGGTTTAAGTACACCTTGCCGCTCCTTCGCTCTCTTCCCTTCCTCTCCTCTCCCCTCCTCTGCTCTGCTCTGCTCTGCTCTCCTCTCCCCTCCTCTGCTCTGCTCTGCTCTCCTCTCCTCTCCTCTCCCCTCCTCTGCTCTCCTCTCCTCTCCTCCCCTCTCCCCTCTCTCCCGCGTCGCTCCGCTGCTCCCCTCCTTTTGTCGCGCGCAGTGGTTCTCGGCGCGCCGCAGAACGGATCGGAAATGGTTGGGTCGAAGGGCGACGCCAAGGCCAATGGCCGAATCTGCCTCGCCGTCTACGAGTAAGCCGCTGCGGAGAATTTACTTCTTGGCGTCTGCTGCGTGTATTATTCTACACTCTTTTTCTTTGTCCGCAAACTAAAAGCCAACACATTGATTATCTCCCTAACAATGAAGATTTTTTCATTTCGCTGCAGTGTTTTCATATCCCTTAGCAACGCTTATCCCGTCATTCCCCCCTTATTCCGCTCTCTTGTGCAATCCCTGACTGACTGAACCCGACTGAATCCGTCAGGCTCGACGGAGACTACAACATTTTCTACTATTCCCTCGTCACCACATACAAAACGGAAGCACCGACCTCTGTCTTCATCGGGCAAGGCATGGCGGGAACGGCGGGAAGCAAGGTTTCCGATATTGTCGGGGCAACTGCCAAGTGGAAGAACATCAGTGTATCGCCGCCTCCTCCTCCTCCGGATGTTAACAAGACAGCGCCGCCGCCTTTCTACACCTACACCATCCAAGGGACGTTGCTTAAAACGAGTACGCGGGCCGCGTTAAACGGGAAGACGGTCAAGAGTGTGATTGACGATGTTCTGTTGGCTCCGAACAGCTCATATTACGCGGGGTTTGCGTCAGCAGCTCACAAGAAGGGCGTTGCAAGGGGGCAGATCAGAGTGCTGGTGGCCGACGCAAGCCATGCTGATAGCCAGCCAATCGACTCATTTATTGGTAGGTGCCTTATGGGTAAGCAGTTCCTTTTTGCTCACCAACTCTTATCCTCTTGTCCACCCTCAACGGCACTGTCACAAACGCGTGTGCTCGTTTTCGCTCTCCCGTCCCCCCTCACCATCCCCTCTGCCTTTCTCTTTGATTCCGTGCAGGCTTGGTGGGGGCACAGCTGAACGGCTCCAGTGCTGACGTCAACGCCACAGGCTCCCTCTCTCTTGCTGTCATCCTGTAAGCCTCTCCTCCATTTGTTTCTCCCTCCTCGGTCTTCTTATTTTCTCTTCTCCCCTTGCTCTCTCACCCTCCCCTCCCCTCTCCCCTCACTCACCTCCCCAACCTACTCCCCTCACTCCCTCACCCTCCTCTTCTCCCCTGTGTCTCTTCTTCCCTCTTCCATACGCACCTTCCCACACTCAGGCTCATCTCACGCCCCTCCTCACCCCTCTTTGCCCCTCCACTCCTCCCCCTGCCCATCCATGCCCCTTCTTGCCCGCCAACCCCTCAGCAATACCGCAGCCAATAATGGTGACTATAACATTATTTATAGCATCACTGTGAGTCTAACCAACCCTCATCCTCTGCCCATATCTCGCCCCTCCCTGCCCCTCCCCGCCCCTCCGTGCCACCCTCCCCCTCAGCAACACCACAAGCAACGACTACGACATTACCTACAGCATCGCCGTGACTCTCACCAACCCTGGCGAGCCCACCCGCGTCGTCATCATGAAAGGCGCTGACGTGGCACTCACCGTGGCCACCAGCAGTGCCACGTGGACCAATCGCACGCTCGCACCGTCCGCTCCAGCGGCAGATCCCACTAACGAGATGTGCAAGACCATACCCCCCGAAGCCTGCTTAAGACTGAAAGCCCAGTATAAAGCCGAGCACCCTCCTCCCCCGCCTCCCCCTTTCCCTGGCTACACCTACGAAACCGCTGGCACTTGGCTAAGCGCCAGTTTTTTGAAGGCGGATAACGGGCAGACGTACAAGGAGCTGGTGAATGCTATGCTGGCTGCTCCTGGCGCTTACTCTGCTCGTGTCTTTGCCATTGTTGAGGCTGGAGCGGCGAGTGGGGCTTTCGCCAATAGCACGCTGACAGCTGGCAATGGGACCGTGGCAGGTGGCCAGGCTGCCAAGTTGGGCATCAAGTTGTTTGGCCGGAGAACTTATCCAGGGTATGGTCCCCATTACCCTTCAGGGTCGTATCCGATTCCAATGCTTGAATACCGCAGGGTCTTGGTGCTGGGGTTGTGAATACGTGGTAGAGTGGAAGTTTTGTGCTTGTATGGTGTTGCCCTGTGTTTGTTTTTGTATCTGTGCCTGTATAGTGTTGCCATATGAGTGTTTGTTTGTACTGTATTTTGGAAATTATGTCAGGGTTCTTCACACCTGCATGGCTCTCCTGTGTCTCTTAGTGCATCAGCGCGTGACTACAGCGAGTGCTAGCAAGGCTGCTTTGTCACCATCGATTCTGGTGCTGACATGACATTCTAGGTGGTTATGGCATCATTTGTAGTCTTGGTGCTGCCGAGGCTTGAACAATGCTCTCTTCAGCTTTCCCGTGCCCTCCTCATGTCACCAGGTTCGGTTAAGCGTTAGTAATCAGGCTGGCCATCAGAGCCTTGAGGTACTACTCATAATAAGGAGGTCGAACACGTGAAATCGGTGGCAATATATGTTTCTCTATGGCTGCCATGGTAGTTAGAACTTAGATGTTCCATTCAACTTACTGGACAGTCAATATGCCTGACTGAGCTCTTGTTCCTGTGTGTGGAGTATTTTCTAACGCGGTAACATCAAGCTCCCTCACAGCACAGCCTTTTTCCGATTTGGCGAGTGATAAGCGGTTAACACGTCATTTACAGCACGAACCACGCTGGATGGATCTCAGCACGCATGCATCGCGTCACCGATCCGGAAAAGTTGCGACAACACCAGTGGGGATGACGTGATGCAGGAAAGATCTCGAACCACGTGGCTGTGACGAACCACGTGATACAGGCACCGGATTGAAACATACAGGCAGAGTTCAGAATCCCAATGAAAAAAGAAGAACCGATTGGTCTGACCGTCATCCATCGCTTCCACATCTTCCATTGTGGTGGTGTTATTAGGAAGGAAAAATTGGCGGTTGTCGAAGGAACAAGAACCGTACGATTGCCGATCAACGTCCAAGGACGGATGAAGCCCAAAACGAACACGAACACCGCAAGCGTGGGTGTAGTGCATGCGTGCGACTACCTCCCGCATCGCGACGATTTGGAAGTGTCGGAAGAAGTGGTAGACTGGCGGGGTATTTTGGCGGGATGATGGTGACGGGATGAGGAGACGGGGATCCAGGTGAACGGCTCGACACGACGCAACGAGCTTCGTTCCCTTCCGCTCGCAGCGCTATTGCTCGCTAGCATACTTCCGTTCCTTTCGTAACATCCAGTTTCCTTTTCCCTCAAACGCTTCCTCGTGCCAATGTAATTTTGCCCCTGCGTCTTTCCCTCTCGTCCCTCGTGCTTCCTCCCTCGCTTTTTCCGAGACAAGGGACGAGAGGAGTTGCTGGCGAGAGGAACCGCCTAGCTTTACAATAAGGGGCGAGTGCTTGACACCTTTGGCAGTGGCGTCGAGAAATTAGGACGAGTGAGTAATTCGCTGATTTTACAGGAGTTGTGAGGAGCTGTTGTTGAATCTAGACGGGTTGTGTTCTGGGGGCGCTTCGGGGTTTTTTTTTTTCCCATCGGTAACTGCCCGAAGGGATTTTCCGGGTAGTACCGAGCTCTCCAATTGTTAATTTCACGGTACCACCCGCCGCGCGTCAAATCAACCATGGCGGCCCTCTACAGCATCTTGGCGCACCGAGCAGCACGGGGGGCTTCGCGACTTCATAATAAGGCACGTCAAGGGGCTTCGCGTTTTTGTTTCTGTTTTTTTTTCCGGGAGGTGGGTGAAGAGAGGGGGGGGGGGCGACTATAACTATTTTAGTAAGCCAAATTTGCACTCGCGTGCATATTCTAAAGCGCTGTGTGTTTCGTAATCTGCAGGTCCCCAGGCTGGGTGTATCCGTCCCCTCTGCTGACCGCCGTACCGCAGTTTACAGCTTCTCGCGGAGCCCGCGGGAGTCTGTGCATCAGTTTCCGCCCGTTCGCCATGTTTTTCCGTTCCGCTTCCGCCAATTCTCAGCTTCCGCCGCCAGCAGCGCCCCCGGAACCCTTCCGCCCCCCGCTTACCCCACTGCGCCGCCGTCCCCGTCCCTCTCCGCCTCCCCTTCGCCTTTGCGCTCTCACGGGGAAGGGATGGTTCTTGAAAGGGCGGCGATTTCCACGGCGGAATTCACGGCGCATTTCATGGACGGGGGAGTGGAGGAGGTGTTGGAGTCGCGTTTCATCAACGTGGCAGCTTCTGCCACGCCAGCCGCATCCGCGTCGTTTTGGCCGGGAACGGGTCAGCAAATCAGCACGCGCCACGTGGCAGGGCGCCGTGACGGACAGCCCTCTGCTTCGTTTAGCGCCGGCGGGCGCGGCGAGTTAAGGGGCACGGATGTGAAAGATGACGGGAGCACGGGGGGAGGGGAAGGGCGCGCGGAGGTGCTCGAAGGCGGAGGGGAATCGGGGGTACGGGGGGAGGCGTTGGGTGAAAAAAGCCGCGCACCAGAGGTGGAAACCGCGCCCAGCCTTCAATCAGAGCGCAGCATGGCGGAACATATCGGGGCAGTGCGCGGAGACATGCAGGGGGCAGGCGCGCGGGGAGAAAAGGGGGAGGCGGAGGAAGGGGGGAAGCGGGAAGGTGCGGGTGGGGATGGGAGCGGGGGAGGACCAGGGGGGAATGGGCGGCGAGGGGAGGAGGCGGTGTGGGTAGATGATTTGGATGGGAAGGGGTATGTGAGTCTTGGTCGACCTACTAATGTGGAGGTTGGAAGCACAGAAGGATTGCTGGGGGACCTTGCACACGTGGCACCTATGGATAGGCTGGATTCTGCCAGGCTGGCAGAACCTGAACCCGAACCTGCCGCAGACACGGGCGGCGAAACCGGCACCGCCACAGCTCCAGAGACAGACAAAACCGCCAGCTGTCCTCACGCTGCGACAGGATTGGTGGACGCGGGCGGCGGGAAGGTGGTGAATGCGATGGGGATGAGAGTGAGGATTAAAGCCGAGGCGGAGCAGACGGGGGGGTCTTACAGTGTGATTGAGTATGAGGTTCCGGCAAGGGAAGGATCAGAGGAGCACATTCACACGCGGGAGCACGAGGCATGGTTTCTGCTGGACGGACAGATGACGTGGACCATCGAGAAAGAGTGAGTATTATGAGATAGTGACATGGGCCCTAGGCCAGTCATGAGGTCTACGAGTAACTAGAAAGTTATGGAAGCAGGGACTTTGGATAGGTGATTTGGTTAACACAGTGAGTGGAAGTGAAAGGGCAGGGAGCCAGAAGGGAGTTGGGGAGAGAGGGGGGGGAGGTGGGGAGATTGAGTGGAGGGAGGGAAGTTTGGGAAAGGGGGGTTGTATGATTATATGCTGTGATGAAGGCAGGTGGATTGAGAGGGTTGCTTGCGTGGGCTCATTCTTTAAGGTTCCAATATTCCAATCTTTGCCGTGTCCCGTTTTCACCGTGCCCCGTTTTCACCGTGTCCCGTTTTCACCGTGTCCCCATCCACACTGCGTTCCCATCCTCGCCATTCGCACCATTCTCATTTGCATACTCCTCCCCTACAGGACCTATCAAGCCAGCCAGGGCAGCTTCATGCACATGCCTCTTGGCCGGGCGCATTCTTTCCGCAACAATTCCGACCGACCTGCCCGGATGCTGGTGGTCTGTATGCCGGGCGGGCTGGAGAAATATTTCTTGGAAATTGGAGATCCTGAGGAGGCAGCTGAAAAGGCACCTGAGCAGTCACCTGGTGGTGCTGTGCATAAGCCTGTGGTGGAGCAGGCAAAGCTTCAGAATGCCATAAAGAAAGCAATGCTCTATGGTCTAGTGTACCCCAAAGGTGCAGCTGCATAGAGGATAGTGGACAGGGTGGTGGGGAGGGGAGTCACCTTCTGGTGCACCAAAGCGTGGGGCCATACATTCAGCAAAGCACCTGAGCAGTCACCTGGTGGAGCAGGCCACACTTCAGAATGCCATAAAGAAGGCCATGCCCTATGGTCTAGTGTCCTGAAGGTGCAGCTGCGATTGTACGGTCTAGTGTTCATAGTGTTGGGTCTAGTGTTAATAATGCCCTGAAAGGTGGTGTAGGTACTTGCATACATAGCAGGGGCTACTGGTACCGCAAACTCTTGCACGCCAATTTGTGTGCGCACAATGCAAGGGGAGTTTTGATGGCTCACATCTGAAGCAGTAGATGCTAACATCATGTACAATGCAAGTCTGAGCCTACATTTATAGCATCACCAACACAACCACAGTGGCCATTCTAGATTGACCTTGCCTACCAGGCCTCTAAAATCATGACAGTATAACATATAGCATGCTGAAATCCCCACAGCAAGCATGCACATGTCCAGTTGCAGTATGCACTGCACATAGACAGCAGAATCCAACCCAATCCAATACAGCAATATCAACCAGTGCAGGACAGTTGCAGCTGTCCTACCATAACATACAGTCAACACAAGCACATTACAACATCCTCCCGCACAGCAGCACAGCCTCAAGCACTTGTGCCTACATCTGTAGCACCGGCTCCTCTCCTGAGAGCTCCGCCTGGGCGTCAGCAGCAAGCTTCTGAGTGAGGCGCGTGAGATTAGACATGGCACGCACCGCCATGCGCAGCGCATTGTCCCTCTCCTGCAGCTGCTGCTGCATCTTTGCCTCCTCCTGCTCCTCCTCCCTCAGCTTCTGCTGCTTCTGCTCCTCCCGCTCCTTCTGCTGCCATTGCAACCTCTGCTGCTCCTCCTGCTCCTCTCCCCGTCGGGCGGCACTCCCTGATGCGCTGACAGCAGCAGCAGCAGAGGCCAGAGCGGGACGAAAGTCGTGTAGATGGCTGGCGGAAGAAGTGGAGAAATGGGGTGAGGATGCGGGCAGCAGCAGCATGCGGTCGTCTGCGTCTGCCTTGAGTTGTGCACTGAGATCCGCCAGACCCTGCAGGGCTGACATGGCTGTCTCTACCTCCACCTTCGCCACCTGGGAAACACAAAAGTGGGAGGAAAAGGCGGAAGGGGAGGAACGGTAAGGGGGCAAATGGGAAATGGTTGAGTACAACTGCAGTGGGTGGGTAGCAACGTTAAGCTCCAAGGCCTGCGCTAGACAAGGGCCGTGGGAGGTGCCAGGAGGAAACCGAGGGCGCCCATCATGCAGGGAGGCTGTAGCATGGTTTTAGTAGCATGGCTGTAGCAGCTCACCTCGAGTTCCAGCTTCACCACTTCATGCGCCACCAGATCCGCCTGAGACACCTTCTCCGCCCCCTCGCCCTGCTGCCCTGCTTGGCGTGAGGACGCGGATTTGATCACGTCCCGCAGCTGCGCGATCTCCCTGGCTCCGCTGATCACCTCCGCGCGCATGGCCGTCAGCGCGGCCTCCCGCTCCTCCCACCGCGCCGTCAGCTGCCGGATCTCCTCCTCCCGCTCGGCTAGGAGGGATTTCACGGAGTCCAGCTCGGTTTGTTTTTCTCCCAGCGCTGCCCTCGCTGCCCGGAGGTGCTCCAATAGGCGCTCGTTCTGTTCCCTCTGCTCTTGTTCTTGCTCCTGCTTGGGTTGAAGGGGTGGCCAAGGGATGGATAAGAATGCAAGAGAACTAGAAACAAGAGAGACGAAAAGGCCAAGGGGGTTGGGTGGAGAGGGCTGCGAGAGAGAGAGACATAGAAAGACAGAGATGGGGAGCAAGCGCGAGGGAGCGAAGGGATGGGGAAATTTGGGGTTGAGGAGATGTGGAGTAGACAAGGCAGCAGGTCGGGGAGATTAAGGACGAAAGTTGTAGCACAGCGTACCTGCAGCAGCTGCATCCCATGCTCCTTCTCCAGCAGCGCCCGGCTCGCCGCAAACAGCTCCCGGTTCGTCTCAGCCAGCAGCACGCTCTCCCCGACCAGCATCTTCCCTCTCAACCCTCCCGACCCCACACCACCGCTCTGCACCGCTCTCCCAGACGGCAGCACCCCCATGTCGAACCCTCCAGCGGCGAGCGCGGAATCCGCGAGCTTGCGCGAGAGCTCCGCGATCTGCTCCACGACAGTCTCCGCCGCCGCCAGGCGCGCGTTGATGCCTTCCAGCTTCACCTCCATCGCCCCAATCGTCTCCTCCCGCATCTCCAGAGCCTTATCCGACGCCGCGACTCTCTCATCTTTAACTTGAAGCTCCAGCTTCACAGCGGCCAGCTCCCGGCGAAGACTCTCCAGCGCGCTTGCCGCGGCGTCGAGGTCGTCTGCCCGGGATTTGAGGTCCTGCTTCGCTATAGAGAGATCCGATGCAGTCTCTTGTAGCTCCAGGCGGAGTCCCACGAGTTCTGCTTCTTTAAGCTGGAGGGTGATTTTGGCGTCTGAAAGTTCGGACTCCGCCTGCCGGACGGATTTACGGAGCTCGGAAGCTTCAGACATGGCTGTCCGGAGCTTCGACCGCGCGTCCCGAACCTCCGTCGCGAGCGTCTCGCAGGCGTCCATCTCGTGCTTTAACTTAGTCTCGAGATCCAGAACCGCGGCGCGGACTGCTTGCAACGTCGCCTTCTCCTTCGCGAGTTCCGCGTTTGCTCGTTCGAGCTCCCGTTCCCGCTTCTTCAGAAGCATCGACGCGTTAGTCGCTTCGCGTTCCTGTCTCGCGACGGCGGCTTTCAGCTCATGAACCTCGGAACGGAATTTGCTCAAAGCTTCGTTCGACACCTTTAGCTCCGCCTTCACTGCACCAATCATCGACTTCGCTTGAGCGAGCTCCCGAGACGCTGCCTCTCCCTTCACTCCGGAGTTCTTCAAATGCTTCTGAAGAATCTTAATCTCCTTCTGCGCAGCTGTCACAATGCCGCCTCTTTTCTCCAAATCTGATTCCATGGCGGTCAGTTTACCCTCCTGCCGACGCAGCTCCTTCTGCGACTCCTCCAACTGCTCCTGCAACCGCTTCTTTTCTGAAACCGCAGATCTCAGATCCAACCGCAATTGCCGAACCTCCGCTGTCGAAGCTACAAGCTGGCTCTCCTGAGCCTGAAGCTGAGATTCCGCAAGCTTCAACTTCTCATTCCTTGCTCGGATCGCCGCGTGGGCTCGCGTGATCTCCTCTTCCTTCTTACCCAACCCCTCTTTGGCCTCGCGAATCTCCTTATTCCTCAGGTCCACTTCCTTGCGAGCCGCTACCAGCTCCTCCGTCTGCTCTGCCAGCTTCGCACGGATCTTCTCCGCGTCTTCCCGTAAAGACAACTGAGACGTCTGGTTTTCAGCAAGACGGGCCTCACGCTCCTGGATGAGTTCGCGTGCCGTCTCGAGGTTATCCCGGTCGAATAGCAGCCGTTGCTCAGCCTCTGCAAGCTCCTCCTCTTTCTCGCGCATGGCCTCGAAGACCGTAGAAAGGTCCATTTCGAGCTGAGCAATCGCGTCTTCAAGAAACCTCGTGGAATCCACCTCGGTCTTGTGATCTTGGCGGTAGTTCTGCGAGAATAGCCGCTCCAATGCGGCGCGAGCGATATCCAAGGAATCTTGGCCGGTACCGCTTCGCGTGAAGCGACTCCCGCTGTCACTGCCGCTGGTACTGCCGCTGCTTCCACCGCTGGTATTGCTCGAAGGTTTGTCCAGAACGGCGCGGATGGACGGACCGACGCGGAAAGATACGGAAGTCGAGCCGCGGTACGTTGAAGGCCGAAGCTTCAGGTGAGATAAGAAGGACGTGGAAGACATGCCGTCGCGAGTGGCAGCGCGAAGGCTGCCCATGGCGACAGGCTTAGACATGGCGTCGTGCGTCAAAACAGAAGCTGTGGTGGAGATACGGGCTTACTAGGAAGAGCTCAGCGTGCTGAACTTTATCTCAACTGCGAGTGTTAGACTTGAAAGCCTCGTCCTGCTCAAGGCGCTTGTGGAAAAAGCCTCTGAAGCATTGAAGACCTTGAAGGGAATGACAAAGGGTAATTACATTCTGGGTAACCAACATTGAGCCCGCTGACGTCAAAAGTCACCTACGTGGCTCGATGGTACCCGTCAGATCATGCGCGCCCCTTGGTGGTACCCATCTTCCCTCCGTGGTACCCATCTTCCCTGCGTGGTACCCATCAACTGTGCGCGAATTCCCTGACTGGTACCGCAACATTTCAACCGAGCTGTACACCGTACAACAAGGGTGTCAATGCGTTTTTCACTATATTGTCTTCACGTTTACAAGCTCAATAGAGTCCGAAGCCCGAAGTGCCACATAATCGGGTCAATTTTTCAAGCGCATTACCTATAATAAAGTGTAGAAGAAAAGCTGAATTTAGGAAAACATTTATTGTGAAGATTTCTTTAGGCTCATAAACATCCACATTATAACATGCTATAATTTAAATCACCACAGATATATTGCATCAACCGAAACACAAAAATTAACATCCGTGTAACAAACGATCAACTGACACGTAATATATATATTGACTTAAGGTTATTTGATTTTCATTAATGGGTATTGTTTTGTTTCCAGAAACCAACGAATGTACGTATTATTTGTTTATGCTTTTCTATTTAGCTGTGGGGGTACATGCTCAATTTATTTGCATACAACCTTATGAACTTTGTTCAGATTACCAACTGCGCGCTGAGAAACATGGTCGTAAGATTCACGCTACCTATCGCTCAGTGATGTGAGCTTACAAAGGTTCGGAGGTAACGTGAGGATTTTATAAGGGGAGTTGATTTTTTCTAGGTTGCACTCTATCCAGTGTAAGGCACGTTCAAAGGTATTAATGTTCAAATGTATTAATGTTCAATTGCAGACAGAAAACGTTAGTATAATATAGTGAAAATCGCATTGAAACCCTTGTTGTACGGTGTACAGCTCGGTTGAAATGTTGCGGTACCAGTCAGGGAATTCACGCACAGTTGATGGGTACCACGCAGGGAAGATGGGTACCACGGAGGGAAGATGGGTACCACCAAGGGGTGCGCATGATCTGACGGGTACCATCGAGCCACGTAGGTGACTTTTGACGTCAGCGGGCTCGATGTTGGTTACCCAGAATGTAATTACCCAATGACAAATGCTGAGATGTGACGAGATAATGAAATATGTGGAGCTTGATACAAACAAATACTCGAGGCATGGGGATTAGAACGCTTGCGTGGAATCTGAGGGATGAAGATGAACGGCTTAGATGAAAACTGGCAGGACCATCTATGGCCAATGGGGTCGAAGGAGGAGGGCATGGGGAGGGAATTGGAGTGTGGTGGTGGTGAGTTGGAGGGGGCGGAGTGCGGGAGAGGGAGAGGGGGAAGCCAGGGGGAGGATGTAGGAAGTTCGCGGGAGATCAGAGGAAAAAAGGGGACGCGGGGAAGGGGGTCCAGGCGCGGGGAAGCAAGAGGGGAGGAGACGGGGAAGGAACGGGAAGGAAGGGAGGAGGGGCGAGCCCCTTGCGAAGCCTCAAGAAGGTTTATTGGACGGTGGTGGGTGCGTTGCAGGGACAAGGACCAAACCGGGGCAGGGGCAAATTTCTTTGCCAGCCCAAACCACCCAAACAGCCTGCCAAATTATGCTTGTTGACATGTGTGGCCACAGTTAACTCGTCTGCCCCTTTTTCCCTCGTTATAATAACACGTGCAGTGCCAGCGCATTGATTTTCCGCGCTATTGGTGCATTTGCAATTATGAGCTCGTATTTGATCTTCCGCCAAATCTGCATGACCTGCCCATCTCGTGACCGTCCAAGATCGAAGTTTTGGAAACGGGCCGCGTGATACGAAATGGCGGTCTGCACAAGAGTGGCGGAAAGCAAACCGCGACCAAGCTAACTAATCAGAGAGAACATATTCCAAAGAAGCTGGGACCAACGAAAAAGTTTCGGAATCAAGCAGACATGTGGGACGGTTGTGCTCACGTGTCCGAGATCTCCACAGCGAGTTCTTCAGAAGTTCTGATATTTCTGGGTCTTCCTCACAGAACCGAACGCCAGATTTGACGCAATAAACTGAATCGTACACGACGAATACATCCTTCCTCATATACTCTCCGGCATGTATACTGGCTATACAGCATTCCTATTTATACCATATGATATAGGCGTGACCTCTGAAAAACTTGCTGTACCTTGAATCTCTTACATGAGGTTTCAGTGATGTGCATCCATTCCTGTCATTGAGTATGATCACTTACATGATTTTCCTAAGGTTCTACATTGAAGATACTGTAGGATTCTGGCAATATAGCATTAGCAGGCTTACCTTGAATCCAGAGAGTTGTTGAGCCAAATGCAAGGCTTTATGAGTAACAGAAAGGAGCTTTATTTACGTTGTAAGATGTACACTGAAGGAGTTTAGCCATTGAACAATACATGTACATAATCAGGCAGAGGTTCTCAAGAAATCCTCAGGCTGGACCATAGTTACAAGCCCATGAAGATGCCCCTGGCAAGCATCCTGGGCTGTGCGCTGCCCCTGCTCAAGGCACAAGGACTGCCGCTGCATGTTGCCGCAGCTGTTGTCCTGAAGAAACTAGTCCTTGCGTTCCCTGTGGCAGGAATTCCCGAGAGTGTTGTTGTTGCAGGCCTTGAGCGTCGACATTGGGCTTGTTCTCCGGAGTATTGACGGCATTTTCAAGGGGACGAGCAATGGTTCTTTGAACAATTCTCCCGCCAAAAACGTTCAGCAGCACCCACGGATGGGATAAGACTTTCGCAGCGGTCGGACGTCGCCGAGGATCTCGATGTAGCATGCAGCGAATCAGCCCTTTCGCCTCGACTGAAATCGTCGCCCATTCAGGTGAGGAAAAATCCAGACGTCCATTCAGGACGGCCTCCGTGGACTCGCTATTGTCATCCCCAAAAAAAGGAACGGCACCGCTTAACATTGTGAAAAGGAGAACTCCAAGCGACCACACATCTGCGGAATGCCCGTACTCCCCAGAGAGCACCTCAGGCGCCATGTAAAACGTCGAACCGGAAATTCCACGAGTAGTTTCGCCGGCTGAAAGCGGAATCGCGAGTCCGAAATCGGCAAGCTTCACAGTTAGCCGATTAGAAGCGTCTCCTTGCTTATGGAGCAGAATATTTTCTGGTTTCATGTCTCGATGCATCACACCCCTTGAGTGGCAAAACGCGAGAGCTGAAGCGATCTGTCGGAACAAAAGAGCCGACTCCTTTTCGGGTATCCTTCCCCGTCGCACGACTTCGTCGTATAAATCGCCAGAGTCGCACAAATCCATGACGAGGTGAACTCCCGCATCGTCCTCGAAGACCGCATGGAGCTGCACTATCGCCGGATGTGTTGCTGCTCTGGTTGCTGCAGCACCAGACGAGGATTGCGCCACGCGCATCGTCAGGTCTTCCGTTGGTCGAGCACTCGCCATTTTTATATTTTCGCAACCAGCGCTCGTGTTGGCCGATGAGGGTGCGTTGGCCGAAGAATGAAGCCGATTTAACCGATGTTGCATAAGCAGCACCTCCATCTTCACCTCATCTCTCACGAACTGGTCGTGAAGCCGAGACTTCGGAATCGTCTTGCACGCGAAGACTTGACCCGTCTCCCTGCAAATGCACCGTCGAACCGTGCCGAATTGGCCGGCGCCTAGAATGTCGGAATCCAAATCAAACGATTCTTTGAGCCGTCTTTGAAGCTCCGGGAAGACTGGAGGCACATGAAGATTAGAGCTTATTAATGAAGACGTTTCTGCCGTAGCGCTGTTCGGACGAACTTGAGCCAATTCCGTAGATTCAGAAAGAAGAAGCCTTGGGGCTGGGTTTGCACTCTGCGTGTAGGAGTGTCGTAGCCGCTTGGTCGCATTGCCGGAAGTCGAGAAGGAGGGCTCTAGCACATCGCAAGAGCGCCGAGTCCCGCCAGTGGCAGCATTGCTGTTAGTAGTGGCTGATGCTTGGTTGCAAGCTGCGATACCAGGTGACTCCATTGTGATGCGAAATCGGAAAGTGATTCAGCGTTTATTTCTGAATTGTCGTGTCACAATGCTTTCCAGAAGCTCCTGAAAACATAAGAGTTTAAAGCTGCGGCGCGTTGAAGAGAAAGCAAAAATGCCTGCTGGAGGATAGAAGCCTTTTTAGAACGAAGACAGCAGGAAAGGGTTTTGAGATGGCGCTAAACTTTCGCAGTGAACAAGTAGGAGCAATGTGCCAAGGCTTTTGAATCGGAGCCAGATGTAGACGAGAACCAGTGGAGGACGACCACTGCACCTAACCGACTTCAGGGCTTGGGCATAAAGCGTAAAGCGAAAGGGGACGTGACAGTGAGTCGTCATCACAATGAGTGGGGGCAATTTTGTGAGCGAGTGAGGGTGTTTCGCTAGGAAGGGGAGGCTGGGGAAGAAACTCGTACATGCGACGACAAGATGAGGTATTTCGCGTCGCTGTCGTATGGCCGACCGCGTGGACCTATCACAGGGTACCACGGCAC